AACCTACAGCGGGTCAATTAGTTCTTCAAACGATACTTTTAAGTTAATTTTATAGTTTTGTGATATTAATAATGCTAATGTATTGATATTTTTCTAGTTTTGATTTACGTTTGCTTGTTTAGCGTCGTCACAGTTGCTAGGTGACATGACGTACACCGGGGTAAGGAGGGGAGGCTAGACCGTCCAAATTCACAGCCTCTTTTTTTTCCGGTCTTCCCGGTCTACCAAGGACCCGGCCCGCCGCGACCGGGTAGTCTGGGTCCTCCGGAGGACCTGGCCTGTCGTTTTGGACACAGCCATAGACATCAGTTGCACCTGAAAGAATCAAATATTTACAGACATTATTAAAGGCCAATAATTTTAGAATTTTTTAAACACTAACATAAGTGTGGATCAGTTTAAATTTGAAGTAAAAAATGGATTAATATAGAAATTGTGCTTCTCCTATTTTGTGCCATATTTGACATAAGTCTTCAGAATAAAAGGAAATGAAATTTCTGAGGAATTTTTGCAGTTGCTTATTTATTTTATATGTATGTGATGCTATAAGCCCAGAATTTCAGTGTAGTGACTATTTTCTACTTTGCATCTATCATTTATAAAACATTTGTTTTCTCAATGATGTCTACTTTTTTAAACATTTTACCAGCCTTTGTCTAATAACTATATTTTTACACATTAGCAGGAGCTAATTGGCACAAAAGAAGAAGCCCCATTGTTCCCCCTTGTTATTTCACACAAAYCAAACAGGCAGGTTAGTCTTGCATCAGTGTTTAGTAACACGCCAGCGTCACAAAATCATCTTAGTGACAGCAGTGCCATTTGTTGCACACTAGTTAGGCTCTGTGTTGTTGTATCAAAGGTGTCATCAGCAGATGAACTCTGACACCCATCCTTCCACCTCCACACACGACACCGGTGTGCAAAACACCCGCATCAGGCCCAGCTTAAGACAGGCTAATTATCCATCTTCCATTGAACCTTTTTGCTCTCCAGTTTATGTCAATAAGTGACTTTTCCTGTAAACTGAAACTAAACGAGTTTAAAAGGAAAGAAAAAAAATCCCTGGCTGATCAATAGTTGATAAGAAGAGGATGTGTCCTACTCACGGATGACAGAGTTTGACCAGGTCGTGGTCTGTGGTTGATGGGGGCAGGCCTCGKATGTAGAGGTTTGTTTTACTCAGCTGTTCCCAGCCTCCGGTGCTGCTACAGCTGCTGTTGTTGGTGCTACTGTTGGTGCTCGGGCTGGGCGGAGCCATAGGGTGCGACGATGGGGCAACAAGTGGCTGGAGAGGGAACAAATTTAACAGGTTGACTTTAAATCCACGCGGAAAGATAACCGAGCGACATCTGAGTAATTTTATGGTGACTTAATGACCAAACTTATTGAAGCCTAAATGTTACATTTCCACAAGACAAGCTTACCTTGTCACAAAGTAGCAAAACAAAAGTCCGCCTAGTTGTGGCCCATCGTGTGAGCTTCTGTTCAGGGTGAGGATTATTATTTCAGTGAGCAGCTAATGTGCAGAGCGATCCCCATCACACTTGCCTTACTGTTTGTGTTAAATATGCAACTCATCTTTTGTGCTGTTGAACAAGATTTTCTCTGCTCAAGCCCGTCTGGTATGGATATCTTTGTGCTTTTACGTTGACCAAACCCAGATATCTTGATCTGACAAAACTTTTCCCTTCCGGTACTTATTCTTCCCCCTACTATCTGATACTGATTGCCTCCCCCATCACCCTCTTCCTTTCCTGACAAATCCCAAGCTGAAAGGAAGCTGATGGAATCCCAAGCATGAAGTGGTGATAGGTCTGAGCAATCAGAGTCTGGACTTCAGCCGAGAGGATCTTCTCTCTTGACCCACTGGTGCCTTACATGCCTTGTGAGTTTATGTTTCATTTTTCAAGTTTACTGGAGATTAAAAGCCCTCGTTTGCTCCACTGGTCGCCTTAGTAAAGGCTGAATAAAAGCTTCACGTTCAACTTAAAGAAACTGAAGTGGTTCTCAGTTGCATATGTGCAAACACACAAGCAAAAGGAACCAGAAAGTTGAGCCTCGTTTTTCCAGACTTTGTGGTTTGGGAGTGACAGTGTTGTGCTCCGGCGAGACCCTGAGAGGGATTTTGTTTTCATGCAGCTGCCCTGGCAGCTTGGAAACAAGCAGCCCTGTGAGAGACTGGGACATGCAGAGGATGGCATCTTATCAGCCAGCTCCAGACCAGCAGAGCCGTCATACTCTCTCCGGAAATACACTCAAGGTTTCCAGTAACAGGCCTCGCCCAGTGTAGCTGTACAGCCGCAGGATAACAACATGAAAAGTGCAGAATAAATGTGCCTACACAAATGTTTTATTTTCACAAAGTTATTAGCATTTGCAGGTAACTAGTTTAGTCACCTTTACAGTGAATAGATGTGCAGCATTAATATGATTAATAATGCACATCAAACACCCACAGAGAAACAATAAAAAAAAAAGATTTTAAGTTGACTACACACAAGCAGTGGCTAGACCAGACTCTTTAAGAAAACAGAAATTGTTTTGTTTACCTTTTGGCTAAGTGATGCTAATAAAGGTTAGCTCATCGTTCAAACCACTTATGGGAAGCTGTGGGGACAGTGTGTCTTTATTTGTCTGTGTCCTGTCTAGAAGCAGKGTTTCTCAATATTCACAGTGTTACATTGCACACATCAAACAAATACAACACTGCTGTACATTTAACTCCAAGTCGAGGTTATTTTAATGGTGTCGCTGTCATGCAAAWCAACTGAGTGACTTTTCTGAGTTAGCTTAAAGTCCGTCTGAAGTGTCTGGGTTTTCATAAGAATATATTTACCTGTTTGCGATATGGAGTCCTTGGTAGGTTGCCAGTATTTGCGAAAATCATTCTCAGTCAGGGACAGTTTTACGTAATAAAAAAAAAAAAATCACGAAATACATGAAACTCCACGTACAAGTTGAAAACTGATAGTGAAAGATGTCCTCTTTAATCCGTTAAAAGAGCAAAAAATACGTCGCTGCCCATATTTGCCGTATACATATCCTTGTTGTCGTCTATTCGGTAACAATTAAGTCCGTAAATTGACGCAACTTTCAGGCAGCCCAGCCCTGTTCGTCCGACAGGCGACTTCATTGATTTGCTGCCGAGGCTGCCTGGACCAACTCGGCTGCTATCGTGGACAAACCATTCTGCGTCTACGGCAGGGGTTGACTKTCGGGTAAGGTTACCAAAAATATTATAAAAGCTCAAATATTTTTTAAAATTTGTCAATTATATGAAACTTTATTGGACTTAGAAGTCACATACTGCCAATTATTATTTTTTTACAATTGTCTTTATGAACAAAAAACAAAATTTCAAAACCTCAGTATCCCCCGCGATGCTGATGGTTCAGGMTGCATACCAATCGTTCCATTGTGTCTGAGGTGGTCCTGGATTTGATTACTTGTATATTTCTTTATGTAAATAAATAAATAAAAAGAGCAATACAACTTTTCTTTTTCATTTTCTTTTTTTTAGAATAGTTATTTATTGTGTAAAGTGCTGATGCAATGACCAATCTAATGTGCTTTAAAGAGGACTGAAAACAAGATAACAATTCAATTTAATGCAGTTCAAAACTACTTTATTGATCCCAGAGGGAAATTGGGTTATTTTTATTAGGTAACAAAGTGTTAGATGAATTGAATTAATCTATTCATTCCACCAGAAACACATTATCAGATATGCATGGAAAGTTAATATTAATCTACATTTCATATATTTAAAATATTTGCGCCTGATTATAATTTTTTACTTTTTCCCCCCCAAGAAACAGACATATGACAGACTCTCATGATATGCATTTATACATTTTCATTCGCCACTTCAGTCACCACGCAGTGAAAAAGAGAAAAGCAGTTTAAGGTTATCCTGATGCAAATGACTGATTTTCAAGCTAACAGAACTGACAATACAATATACAGTAATGACTTTCAACTAATATTTTTAAGATAATTCAAATTGATTGTGCTATTATTTTTCCATTTTATTTTCAGCACTTCACTCTGCCAGACAAACACTCCTCCTGTGACAAAATGTGGCAGAACATGATTGTGACATCTCTGGAAATAGAGCTTGAATCACCAGAGGGAAATCGGGAAAATATGTTCCTCGGCTTGTATGGGAAYCTTTTGAGAGCCACATTGATGCAGACTAAAAATTTGCTGGAAGAGGCGGCTTCTATAATGGATTTTGCCCTGCGTGACCCTCTTAATGTGAGTGATGGTTGGTTGTGGGTGTAAAATGTACGCAAGTGTTTCTTTATTGGAGCAGGCAAAATGGGGCTATAAATCAAAGGCAATTTAACACCTTCTGATTAGAGAACCAATATTGTTCTGCTTTTATACTCCGTCTAAACAGCTTCTTTGGAAGYCAGCTGTCTGATTAGTTCATCAAACTCTGTCCATGCAAAAGACACAGTGAGAGATGCTGTGTAATAATAGTAACTGAAATCATCCCCATGAGCCCACTGTGACATCAGTGAACCTGTAATGAACAGTTCAGCTCATTTAGGTGTAAGTCAACCTAAATGAAACAGAAGGCTGTGAAGAGAAGTTCATTAGGCCAGCAGGAGCATTTAGGTCAGGTTTTAAAGGAAATGGATTGAAGTCTGATTCAGCTCTTTTTAGCCAGGATGGATGTTGGTGGGTGGGTCAGGGTAAACAGAGAGGCAATAGAATCACCTTTTACAAGACTGAAAGAAAAGGTTATCACTGATAGAAGCCTTTGCAAAACCAAAATGAACCCATTTCAGGGTTAAACAAATAAAACTGCAGTCCACACCGACATTCACGCTTCAGTTCAGTTTCGTATTTGAAGACAGATTCTAAATTGATCAGAACATACCACTAAAACACACCAAGAAAGTTGTATTTGTTTAAAATAGAAAAGAATGAACAGTCAGCAGTATATCCAATTCATGTAGATCATAATGCAGCTTTAGCTTGCACGTCCAAAACCGCCAAAGCAAGCACAAACATGCTTGTTTGGAAAGATTACAAGATTACCAAGACACAAACCCATTCACACAAAAATACACAAGTTCGAACTCACTCACTCACAAACGCTGGGTATTTCCAAAGGAAATTATCATGTGAGGTTATACTAAGACACTGTGCTACTTTTCTACTTGATCATGCTCCTCCTTGAACTCATGAAAACATGACTCAATAAGTAAACAAGAACAAGAAAAAAGTCTCTATTTTTATCTCACAAAACAACCCTAATAATAATGACAATATCACAGCTCAGCCTGAAAGAAGCAAAGAGACAAGTCTTCTCAGTTCTTCTTTGTGGTATAATCCTGGTGGTTTCATTTGAGGAGTTTTAGATTGTCTCTGGATGATGTCCTAGAAGGGACATCTATATATTTCTTTTAGAGATTCCATTGYACTGGGTAACTTGAAGGCCAGTTTGGGCAATGACAGCCTTATCTGGAAGGGGGTGATTGGGAGAAATGGCCTCCTTAATATGAACCCAAATGGTGTTCGGTTATTGGATACTGGTACAAGGCATGGGATGAACACCATGTTTGAGTTAAGGTGGTCCATGTGATCTTCAACTCGTTTCCAGAAGAGTTTTTCAAGTATGGGTGGGACATGAAATCCAAATGGACCATGTTCAGGGCCTCCATTGCAGATGTGGTTTGCAGGAGCTGTGGTCTGAAGGTCATTGGTGCAGTGGCAACCAAGAGACCCGCTGGTGGACACCAGTGACAATGGAGACCATCAATCTGAAGGATACCATCAGGGCTTGGATGCCCCAGAGGACTCCTGTAATAGTTGGCAGGTACTAGACAGCAAGGACTGCAGCTTTAGTGGTTGAGGACGCAAATCTCAAGCAYGGGAGGAATTCAGACTTTGGTTGGCCTCAAGGAGGTTCTGGCAAAATKTTTGGGATTTATTTTGGGTRACCTTCTTAAATAYTAACTTCTTTTGCATCTTAGATTCTAAAAATTGCCCTCACTTCTACCAATCTGTTGGGCTTGTATTGACCATTATATTTTTTTTGCCACATATTTGGAACTTCTCTGAAAACTTTCTGGTAAATTAGAAATAGCTTCATGAAGGKTTTAATTGTGGAGCTTGGAGTAATAAGAACACAAAAGCAGCTCTCAGAGGCTCGACTCGGACATAAAAAGCAGCGCCCCTGGGTGGTTTCATTGTGTACATTTTGCTGCCTGGCAACTCTCCAAACTTTATTGTAAACGTGTATGGTGCCGCTCAGCTTCAACATAATGCCATTGTCCACACTGTCACTGCAGCAGTAAATGCATTCACCTGCCAATGATGTTTGGTCAAGTTTACTGGGATGAAAGGAGCCTTGCAGACATTTAATTTCCTGAATCAATTTGAGGAGACATAAGTTCCCTTAAAARTCAATTTAAGACTAAACCTTATTGATAGATTTTTGTTGTTGTTTCAGACTTTTGTAATATTAAAGGGACTTTCCAAATCTCTGCAGTTTTGCTGCATTTGAATTGCATTTGCTGCATTTGAATTGCATTATTTTTAAAAGCCTGTTCACAAACTAGAAGAAACGTGTTGGAAAGAATCAAGAAAACCAGTTTAAAGTAAAATATGACGTATATTAATTTCCTATTTTATGTCAAAAAGTATGAAACGTGTCAAGGACACAAAATGGAACGGTTGTTYCGCAAAAAACATCTCACTGCTTTTGCAGTAAATAAAAAGCAAAAGCGGGTAAGAAAAAAAAAGCTGAATCATTGTGGTTGAATGAATCAAAATGAACACCCAACTCTGTTCACAATACTTTTTTGAGTCAATTCCCACAATGGAATTGCATTTTTTCATAGGATGACATTTGAATTTTTTTGACATTTGAAAAAGACCTCAATTAAAAAGATCTTCTTCTTTCTGCTTCCTTTCATTACATTAATGATGTGTGCATGTATTTTTTTAATTGTAAATAGATTTTTTTTGGTTTGTTTAATGAATGAATGAATAAATAAATACAAAATATAAAAGAATGCAGCCTTAAAGTCAAATAAGCCTAATTACGGTAAGTCCACCAAATTCAAAGTGGTGCAAATATATTTTGTTTCAGATTTAATCTGTGATCCAGAGATAAATAGGACATATCAGTCAACCTTATGAGTAAAGATAGTGAGATAAGTTGGCTTCCTCCACTATCTGTTAAGGTTTTATTGAGACGTTTACTGGTTAGTTTTATGCGTACAGGAAAAAGGGAGAGAACCGCCACTTGATATCAATCAGGAAATTCATTAAACACACAGGAAGACTTGGGGAAACTCTTAAGGCTCAATGTGAAAACAAAATATTTAAGCCTACAACAGAGTTTTAAGACTCTAAAATGACCCTGTCTATGTAATGTAATTATTCCACAGCTGCTGTTTGGGTTTTCAATGTAGTCCCCTTTACCTCCCTTTTTCAAATAGCTGCAAGGACCCAAGGCAAAAGCTGTCAATCAAACACTATTGTTTGCAGCTTTGTTTTCACATATTTGAAGGGAAAAAAAGAAAAAAGCACATTGCATCACGTTCATGTGAGATCAGTCCTATACTCAAATTATGAGTCACACTATAGTTGAGGTGATGTATCAGTTTCTTTCAGCATARACTACACTCTTCTCCTTTGCGTCGTACATGTTAGTGCTATTATTATTTTACTGTCCCCCAGAGTTTGTACAGCCATCTTTTTTTTCTTGTTCTCTCTCACCTTCCTCTGGGCTCCTGAAATCTGATCTGCTGTTTCTCCTTGCATTCTTCCTCTCCCCTCCTCCCATGTGCATGCCGGAGTCCTCAGCTCTGCCCGACAGGCTTTAGGTTTCTGCAGACCTACAGCGAATTGTTTATTCTGCTCGACATGGAGGAAACGTGGATGGACCCTTCATTGGCTCGAGATTTACTGCTGAGCCAGGCCTCTGAAACAATGGGGATTGACTGTTTGGAGGCTATGAGTTGATAAATAATGATAGAGGGATCCAATGAAACAACAATGCATAAAACTTCATATACAGAAATCCTGAACTTGCCAGGGATCATCTCATAGCAGACATAAAACAGGGGAGAGTCGTTTCTCAGCATAGAAGAATGTTCCTGTTAACTTTAGCACAAGCTAAACATACACAGTATGTCTATTTTAATGAGGTAGATCAAATCTTTTGAAGTGGATTTCGGTGGAAAGCTCAGTGTAGAGGCTCACTTTAAAACATCTGACATATTTCTTTAGAGGGCCACATAATTCTCTGCAGGTTTCTGGTGACAGGGTTTAAAACAAACACCTCTTCCTTCAGTACGTGACTGAGTAAAGTGCAAATATTGAAGCTTCACAATGCAGGAAATGCACATGTTGATGGAAAGATAAAGTACGTACACCGCTCAGGCTGTGTGATAGTCATGCTTGCTGGATGGAAGCGTAAAGACAGTTTACTGAGTTCAAGCTTTTCTACGAAACAGAGAAACCAAACAGAGCAAAAACATAGAAGATACGATTTAAAGATTTGCACCTCTGCACTTTTTCACATAAACGACTTGAACTCAAATGTCTTATTAATCATGTGCGGACAGTTTTTTAAATTTTATTTTCTATTTTTTAATGAACTAATATGACCAACAAACCAGAGGAACAGATTTTTCTTCTTCAGGAAATAAGAACAAAGAGAGAATTGTGAACACGGTAGAAAGAGAGAATGGTAATTGAGGTGAATGATTGTGTGGTCATTGGAATGACTCATTTACCTCAGTCAGTGTTCAGTTCAGTAACACCATGGCTTATCACAACACCACAGCCTTGAGTGACAATTTTCTTTCCCAGAACCACAAGACCAGGGTTATATCAGACTGCTACGAGTTCAAAGCACAAAGAACAGAAAAAGAAATATGCAAAACCCTCAAGAGGTTCTGATGTTCTTTTAGAGGAAGCCAGCGTTTTGAATTAGGGTTGCTTGTGGTGGTTAGGGTCTGTAAGTCATTCTCAGCAGGAGCAGAGGTTGAAGTTGGAATGTCAGGCGGGGTCAGAGATGAAAAACTCGGTAAAAGGACGAGGGAAATGACTGCAGGAGGAGGCTGATCACTGAGGTCCCCCTCCACCCCCTCCCCACTATAAACAGGTCACATGGAGGTCTGCACTAACTCAGACTGATGACAGAGACAAGAAATGCCTTTACACTCATCCTGCTGGCTCGTTTGCAGGCTCTTTTGAAGTTAATCAAACATACTGAAGACTCAAGAACCTCAACACATGTCCTCCTTTTGTACAACATAAAAACTTTTGAAAATGTTTGGTTCTCGTGCAAATTATCACAATAAAGCCCAATTATTGGAAGAAAATAAACCCATCTTTTAGAATTTCCCACAAATAGTGAGATAGTACAGCATTGGGAACATTGCTCATGTTAAATCAGCATGTAAAAGATACACATGTGCAACAGAGGAACTAGAATGCAGTGCAGAAACTGTAAAATAAGATCACACTTTAACTTTACATACTAAAGTCACTCATAACTGCCATCTACTGGCTGTACTTTGAGGACTCAGGTCATTTAAATTCTACTTTGAGCAGTCACGTTTAAAGGAGACCTGCAGACTGTAAAAACTTAAGACTTTTTGCAGCCATGTGAGATTCATAATAACTGTGAGACGTGCATTAGTTGTTGCAGAGCATTGCTTTCATTCGCTGTATGTTCGTGCAAGGAAAGGAAAATATTTACAGACGTGAACCTGCTCCTTCCCCATTAACCCCCCCAGCAGTAAGCAGCTCCATCGTCATCACAGCCGCAGAGTTTTAACAAAGGGCAACATAATTAGGCTCATTAAATTTAGAGTTCATGCCAGACTTGTTTTTCTTGACAGAAAGTCGAGTGAGACAAAAGAGGGACACATTTGAGTTATGTGACATTTGCATTTTTGATATAAATATCAGAAATGCAAATGTCTCCAGATAAAAATACTCTGTGCAGTGGATATAAAACTGTGTGTGCGTGCAATCTTAAATATAGGCCTACTCCTGCCCCTGTGCATTTAATACTTACATATTTGTTTACAAAAGTAAAAAAGAAAAGAAAAGAAAACCCTGCTATTAATCAAATTATAAGACAAAGTTGTGGTCTTTGGGAAGATCCTGAACATCTGTGGTCCAGTTCCCCTATCTGACCTGCAACATTTACACACTTTTGAAGAGTGCTGATGCCCTGTGTGATTCCATTTATTTGCAAAACTCAAAAATACAAAAATAGACAGAAAGAACCACAAATTCACCTTTGGCAATCTGAGATAGCTAAACCCTAAAAGCTAATTTCCATCCATCCATCCATCCATCCATCCATCCATCCATCCATCCATCCATCCATCCATCCATCCATCCATCCATCCATCCATCCATCCATCCAT